TATTATTATTATTATTATTATTATTATTATTATTATTATTATTATTATTACTATTATTATTATTACTGGAGTGAGGGTTGAAGCTCGAAACATGACGATGATCACGAAAATTGTTTGTTGTCTTTATTCAGTGACGAACACAAAGGCATCGATTATTATGCAAACACATAAATAATATATTGTTCAAATATTCAACAAAACTTTTTTCCTTCAAAACAAACAAAACACTGAACAGTGCTTGAAGAGAATGTATGATATTCTTTATCGCATTTCTACTCAAATAACTGTTTGAAATTAAATAAAGGTACACCTTTAAAAATACATATATACACAGGAACGCAGAATATGCAACCTCCCAAATTTTCATTTCTTCAAAATTTCACTCAATAAGCTATCATCCTCTGAACCGATGATGCTCTAACGTTTTGCTCATCACAACTATTCGCAGTAACTTTTGAAAATTTTTTTTCTCTTATTAAATTAATTCGTCAAACTGAAGTGATTGGTTATGCACGCTACTGTTTGGTGCTTTACTGTTATCAGATGTGCTGGAATTAATTTCGTAATTATTTCATGCTGAGGTGTTTGCAATTGAAGAATGCGTTTTGACGACCGCAGAAGGAATCGTCGAGTACGTATTTGGTTTATTCGTTTGGCTGTTACGGCACACTGATTTCTGCTTTTTTTTCCATTCGTTCTGATGAAAGTTGGTGTATGATTAACTGCGTTGGACTGCGGAAAGTAAAATAACGGAATTGTTGATTTATATGAGCGGATTATGAGACGAACATTTGATTGCTTCTGACCAACAAATTGCTCTTCTTGACTGAAAACGATAGAATGATCATTTGTAGCGTTTCGATAATCTTGGACGTGAAGAATCGCAAGTTGTCGAAAGTTATGAACGTAGAATTGATGGAACACCTGAAACTGAGGTATTTGCTCCATTCTTGTTTGTCAAATACCATAACCTTCGCAGAGCTCACGCATTTGTGCAAAGTGCCAATTGCTTAAGTGAGTATTTTTGTTGTTTAATCAACGTTCACAGCAAAATTTGGACTGCTATAACAATTTATATCTGCATTTCAACGTAAATTGTTCAAGCAAGTTTCTTTTCAGTACAATACGATATTGATGCAATATTGATATTTTATTGATATTTCTTTGAGAATTTTTGCGACCTCACTTCAAATTTCTATGTTTTCGAACGAATTTCTTTAAATTTTCTCATAAATTTCTGTACCGGAAGTGATTTGAATGAAATAAGTTTCATCATGTTCTAGCCTCAGTATCAACACTCTTACAACACCTACACAGAGAGACGTACATACGGTCGTGATGAAAACGGTGAAGTCATTCTGAGAATTGAACGAGATGTTAGTTAATTTGAATGCTTTTGACTATGTGCAAGGAGATTTCTCAAGATTCATGCCACTTTGTTCGCTGAGTGATTCGAGAATATCGCACATTCTTTGTATCACTTGAACTGTAAAGCTAATGACTAGTTTATTGGTATTATTATTGTTGTTGTTCATCATTTGTTTTTAAGTATGTAGTAATTCGAGGTATCAGTGTACGGTTACTGTGCATACACATTACTGGTTTTTGATGTACAATTTTGTGAGTGGTAAATTGATTGTGGACATGAATAGTATCGAATATACATATCATTTGGTATATGTGCATAAAATTGAGGAGGAGAATGCATGAGGAATGAAATGATTTCGAAACAGCATCATTCGTTTATTGCATTTACATGAACGTATTTACTTCGATTTCGATATTTTGTTTGTTTACAAATACAATCCGCCACTCGCACAAATTCCTTAAAACATCAGCTCAGACCATCTTCTAATGTTTATCTTACTATCAATGCATACATTTGTTATTGGTGAATGTCGTCTATTCTTTTGAAAAATAGTCTCACTGATGTTTCTCAAGAAAAAGGTCTGTTCGTTATCATTTCTTTACGGCTATTTTGATTTTTTTTAGTTTCTCTCATGTTTTTCCTCAGAATAATTTTCTGATTCAAAAATTTACATCTTCAATCGTTGATGAAGAAATACCTCATGGAAATTTCCTTTATTTTCGTCTGGTTCTATCGTTCTACCAAACCAACACATAACTGAATATAAGAAGCCATTGTGTTGTCTCTGAACTGCGACAACGTAAGCGGGAATTATTCAACTGATTGACTGTTTCGATCAAAGAAACGTCCGTTGATCAGTTGAATTCAAGGTTTGGTTGAGTGAGACCATAATAAAGGCTATGAAATACCTTTTCTTAGGGTAATGAGATGGTATTTTGCCTCTTTCATTAATTAAGATTGACACAGTCAAAAGTTTTGCATTGATTTTAAGCTCTTTCATCTTATCGTTCACTGTCACTGCTGTCGATTAAGTCGTTCATCAATACAGCTCCATTCAAAGCGCAAAATCCAAAATGCAAGATATGAGTGTACAGTTGACGAATATGCTAAATTGAAATTTCCGTCGTGGAATTATGACGTCTAGTGGTGTAAATATAATAGCATAGGTATGTATGAGTATGGAGTTGTGTTTGATGATAATATTTGCGCAGCTGTTTCTGTTGTGAGTTTGTTGTTGAATAAAGTTTTCGGTTTTATTATTTGTTAAACGCTTTGCATCGAGACTGAATTCAATGGGCGCATGTTTTGGACGTACAAAGGTGATGATTGTTTGATTGATAAATTGATTGACTGAGCTTAATTTCATTCATTATCATCCTCGGTGTTGTTTTTCTCTTTTGTTAACGTATCCACTCGCACTGATTCTCCTTCTGGTATTTCTATACTTGCTGTTTTTTGATTTCTAACAGTTGAGTCAAATTCGGTTTTGATGAATGGTCATGAAATTTTCATTTGAAATTTTTTTAAATGAGAAAAGTATCAGCAAAGATGTATATCTTCTTTCAAGTTTGATATTAATCGAAGCTCATTTTACATTTCTGATTGCTTGATAGTTCTTGTCGGTTCAGATCTCGATTACCTATTACCTACTGCTTTTTGTTGGAACTATGCTCGAAGTATTTTGATGCTTTAGTTCACCACATCACCACTAAAGTATCGCTTTTATCCGACTTTGCTTCGTACACCATTTTGGTGAAACAATTCCTCTCTTTTCACCGATGATGAAAAATTTCCTACTTGTGAGCGATTTTCAGTTGGATGCAGCACACTGCCGCGACGAAAAAGTTTTTCTTTTTAAAAGACACCCATATATTTCAAATTTTTTGGGTTGTTTTTGATGTTCGGTCATTTGAATCAGTGCAAAATAACTTTTCGAAACGTTCGAATTCAGCCCAAAGATCCGGTTCGACCAGCCACTCCCGTACGACCGGTCACGCCAGTTGGAGATGTCCCTCGTGAGATGCAACCGATACAGCCATTTGATACACTGCCACTGACTATTCCCCGTATCGACATTCGTAATACTACTTCAAGGGGGTCGAATGGTCCACACAGCTACAACTCCTATCATCATGGTAAGCATGCACTCTTCTTTCATTGTCTCACTGCAAAAGATGATTAGCAAAAGATCTTTCTCACGTTACATTTACGCAAATGCTCAAAAGACTTGATCAGTTGATCAAAATGACTCGAGCAAATAAATGATGAAATCATTTGAGAGTGAGGATGAATTGAAGAACTGAAGCAAGTAAAAAATATCCAAGAAATAGCCTCAATATTTACTCCGTAACGAACTTGCACTGAATGATGTGTGTATTTTTTGACTTGATGAATCAATCCGTACACAAATATCAAACCAGTTATTATATATTGCTGCATTTCGATTACAACCCATAGAACATGTAGGCGTATTTTAGCGAAAAATTAAACCGTTTTCAGTCTTTAATGACAAATGAAAGTGAAGCTGTTTTGCAAAATATGCTAACAATAACGCAATATTCGGGTTCATTATCATCATGGCAGTGTTACGTAAAAAGTTTTCAAATTTCAACGCAAACAAACTTATCGATACTTAATGATATTCTTTGCACATTTGTTACCATCAAATATTAAAAGAAGTTGTGACTCACTCCGACTGGCATTCAAAAATTCAAAATTCAACTAGATTCAATAAGACAACGATGCGATATTCACAATTCTCATGATGGTTTCCCCAGTGAAACTTCCAAACGTATTGATAATCAGCATCACCCGATAAGATTGAAAGTGAAAAAATGTTTTCAGTTTTTATTTGCTGTAGGCATTCCGAAAAATTGACAGATTCATTGAGTGGATTCATATTTTTAAGCGCCGCTCACTCTCCTTTGCATTCACCATCACCTTCATTTCAATTCTAAAAATTTGATTTCCTCAACTTCAACTTCAGATCAGCGAAAACAACTATCGCCCCAACACCAAAGTATGCGATCAGCACGCTCGGTACCTCCCCTCCACTATCCCTCCCGGTTAACACCCCCCTTACCCTCATCGCATCACTCGAACGTTGCATTTGATCAACAATCCACTCGCAGCTATGCAACAATGCCAATGAAGAAGGTGATACGTAAAAGCCGTTGGGTTACGGTGCGTGACGGTCAACCGGTGAGTCCGTTCGTTGAGACGGTCACTTATGAGCCGAAATATCCCACCTACGATCGGTCGTATCGTCAACACGCCGACAACATCTATCAGTATCGTCAGTACGACGACGATGGAGAACGTCCGTCACCTCAATATATCCCCGAAAGAAGCATACTGAAAAGGTATTGTTTTGGTGGGATCTCAAAATTGAATGTGTATTTTGTAAATACGCATTTATTTTATTAATTATGCTATTATTTATAACAACAATGAGCTGAATTCAGCAATCTGTTGTTGGGCAAACAGCATAAACAATGACAGACCTCAATCTGAGCCGAAATCCAGCAAGTAATCGATCGATGTGGATCAATAACTAGATCATTCATTGGTGAACGATCCAATAAACGATGCCTATTATTAGGTAGCGATGATAACCGAACGAAATTTCGGTCCGGTCAAAATGCGACCTAATCGACTTTTTAACATACGGAAATCTCGTATTCCGATCGAAATTTGAAATTACCGACCGGACGGTGACCGAATTTCGGTCGGTCGCTATCACTACAACATAAGCAAATTTGTTTTCGTTTCAATTTCTTTTGACTGTTAATCGTTAAGTGGATCGTTTGCTTGAACGATTCATCGAAGTGAAAAAACTCGGTTGAAATTAGCGGAATCGAAATTTCTTCCAAATATCTGTGATTTTGCTTCGCTCGTCCAATGCCGTCTAGCAATGCTTCTCTTCATTATCTCGTCTGTATTTGGAATTTCAGTAGACAAGTGTCCTACTACGATGATAACTACAACGACGACACATATCGAAGAATGCACAGTCAGTATCCACAATCCAGATACGTCCCAGAATGTGCTTACATTGTCGAGAACCCACTCTATAACGACTGATTGCTTCCCAATCAATGGAAATATCATTCCACTAAATGAGAAATCAAATCGCTGATTGACTGAAAGTCTCGTAAAGCTCCGACTTCGTTCAAAATTGTTTCACTTTCCTGATTTCACTTGTTTTTTGCATGTTTTGTATCAACCATTTGCAAAATTCATGATGATTTATACATATTTTTCCAAAAATACCAAAAATCATTTCAAATTATTAAATTTTTCACACAAGTCACATCCTTTGCACAACGCAACTGAGAACGATAAACGTGCCAATGATATTACCAATGATCATGACAGTTATAATAATAGTAACAACAATAAGAGTAGCAGTAATTTAAAACATCAAGAAACAAAAACGAAGCAACTGGATAATGAACTTGCGGTTGAGCAAATGAACTGAAAAGAAACGAGAAAGATCTGTACAAAAATGAAACGATCAAAATGACAACAGCTTTCAACAAATAAAATGGAATTCCAATAAAAATCGGTGAAGCAAAACAAAAATAGCCAAAGAAATTCTTGATTCGTACATCATCGATTCGCGAATTTCTGTTCCATATAACCATGCGAGCGCTGTAATCCTAGTCGATGACTATTCAACTGACGTTCAACGCTCATCGACGCCGCAGCATCATTCAGCATTGGTCTGAAATCATCCATTCCATCGAATGCTTCTCACAAATATAATATCACCAAAAATCGAACAAATCCACTATTAAAACAAAATTATTTCGAAAAATAAAACGAAATAAAGAACGGATATAATCGAATGATTCTATTATGAGATATGATAATAAAAACTAATACAACGAAATAAACTCGCATTCAAATAATTGATTATAGAGAACGATAACTGAAAAACAAAACAAAAAAGAAACCTTATGAAATCAGCAGGTTTTGAGTGCTCATCCTTCAATTCTTCTTCTTCATTTTTCCGCGCTTTAGCGATATTCTTCGAACGAGTTGAATTTCGCCATTCAGCGTTTCTAATCATCTCAAGTCGCTTCATTTCCATTTCTTCAGGTGTCAACTTACGTCGTTCCTCTTTCTTAAAACACCAACACGACTACTTATATATCACTCAAATTCAACATAACATCCATCTAACATCACAAATAATTCAGTTATTGATAAAAATCCTTTCAACAACCCTTCTTTCGAAACATTTACACGAGAAAAAAACAACAGTAATAACAACAAAGACTGCGCTGAATCTTGACAATATCCGCTTCCAACTGAACATATCAATAAAAAATTTGTAATCCAATTCAAAAACACACCTTATACGGTTCAATTGTTGGCTTGAACCGAATCAGCTCATACGGATTACTTGCTTTTGAACCTTGCGCATCTTTGGAGTCTGAGCTCCTCCGCTTTTTATCAATTAAACCATATTGATGATTAATATCACCGTTATCTGCTTTGTCAGATTTTCTGTGCACTGAATCAGACTCAGAAGATGAACTTGATGAATCGTATTCCTTAAGTAACATGCACTAATCAATGAAATTCAACAGGTTCAGATGATATACACAATGCAATCCAGTCGAATATTAAGCGGTAAAATGATACTAGTGATCAAATAAAGCCCTTCCACTGCACACTTTAATTTTACTGCATTCAAAACTTGACTTAAAACATATAAATTTCCCCTGAAAGTCAGTCAGTTTCAAAACGAACAAACTTACACGTTTCGGTCGTAAATGTTCTGGAATATGTGAATCAAATTGATGACTTCGTTTCGTCGATGACGAAGTTTTTGATTTCTGAATATTTCAAACTAAAATTAATACAAACGGCGAAAATAAATATAAATAATAAAAGTAAACCAATATGAATGCGAATAAATCAACGAATGGTTTATGTCTGAAGTACAACTGAATGATTTACAATTAGAACTCTTAAAAATTGAAGATGTCAAGAAAAAAATTTCAAACTCCACAAGGTATGAAATCAAACACTTCCAGTCAAATTTAACTAAGGTGTACGAATTTCACCTATGACATGAAGTCACTTAAACAAAACTTTGAAAATTGTTCACTCGAGTAGATACTTTCCGAGATCCACAACTATTGAATGCAATCATTTAGTTTCAAAAACCTGCGGCCAGCTAACGTCCTATGCATGAACAGTTGTGAATCATTGAGGAATACGGGGGAACGACCAACTTTTGCAGACAACGAAGAGAAATAACCAAAGAATTTAAATAACTCGCTTTATTCTTGTCTGTAAAATCACTCGAAGTTGAAGGTCGATCAGCGTCGTCTTTGGTTGTTTTAGTGTTGTTTTCGTCAGATGATGAATTCTTCGTTGAATGACGTCGTCTGCGATGACGAGTGACTTTGGCTGGTGAGATATTTCCATTCGATGAGTGACGTCGCCTTCGTTTCATTCCGTCTGATTCCGATTCCTTACTGTGGTGCTTCTTCTTATGATGGCGGTGCTAGAAATTCTTTGTCGTTCAGTGAATACAATAAGGATACGAGTCAAATACGAGGACGAATGAGTTTTGAAAAATCAAATATTTCGCTTATCACATCTGAATTTACGACAAAGAAGAACTCTAGACACTTCAACACAACAAATAATTGACCGTTTTACAAAACACAAGAAGAGTTTTGCTAAAAAATGGAAAAACTCGAAAATCAGCCCAATCAAATTATCTTTCTATTAAAATTTGGACAATAACTTTCTCAACTAGAAATTATTCCGCAGTAAACTGATAACTGACATCAATTTTCGCTGCAGTCCATTATTTAAAGAGTAGTGATAACTTAAAATGAGCTGAATAGGTAGCAGGTGAAGAAAATACTTAAGTGGGTAATCAAATTTTCATGCAGACAAATCAAACGATTACTTTATGCGACGATGAAGTTGCTCGTTCCCGCGAATGTTTTTCGTTATTATCATTATCATCATCAGAGCTGGCGGCCTTCAGGTGTTTTCGTTCTCGTTTTGCTTTCCTTTCTCTCTTCTCCATCTTTTTCTGCATCTTTCGTGCTTTCTTTTCCATCGCTTCTTTCAAAACTTTTTGAATTTTGAGCATCATCAATGGATTCTCCAGTTTCTCTTGACGTAATTTCTCTTCTTTCACCTAAAACTGATTAAATTATTGAATGGGTTCATTTAACTGAAGTTAATTGCATCCAAATATAGCTATATCTACAAAAATTGGCTCGTTAGCTTATATTGCATTTTCCTCCAACCGAATATTCAATAAAAAACACATTAAAAGAAAAGTTCCCGCATGAAGAACCTTAATTGCAACAAGTGGATCTTCATTTCTGACGATATTCACACCAAGATTCGAGAATTTCGCAGGTTGCTCGATTGTCCGTTGACGACTTCCTTCGACGATCGCTTCCATCGGTGTTTCTTTTTCCTTCACAACCGCATCCGAATACATCTCAAAATTCTTGTCAACCTGAAACTCAGTTCAATATGAATTCTAATAGACAATTCGAAAGTGTTAGATAACGGAATGAACTTACTAAATAGTTTACGACAATGCCATTTTCTTCAGTCTGATCAATATGAACAAAAGTTAACTTATTCGCCTCAATGATTAGAAACAATGAAACAAATGGACACGAAGATAAACCAATATTTTCTAAAAGATATATGAATAAGAATGAACAGACCCTTTTTCCGAGAAGATAGTCCTCACGGTTCACAAGGGCCTTGGTACCTTCATAAATCCATCCTAGCTGTGAATCTCCTCGTGGCGTTTTTTCGGCCATTTTCCTTATATTTTTTACAGTTGATAACGATTGATGATTTTTCTGAAATATGAGACAAAATGATGCAAAAATTGATGAATGAATATAAGCGAGACGCATCTCGTGTATTCAGCTTCACGTTATTCAAAAACGTTGATGAAAGAACATTTCAAAAATTTCGGTTTAAATAATACTGCCAAAAAACAACTGAAAACAAAATCATCTTAATTGCAACATCGCTTCATAAAGTGAGGCGTGCTCATTTGAAGATAACACCGGCTGAACACTTCATTTAACAAAAATTTGCATCATTATTCATGCAAGTTCATAACATTTTCAAATCGAATATAACTTAAACGATATGACGGATCTATACATCCGGAATATTCTTCCTCAGAAAATTCACTGAAGAGATAGATTCTCAATCTCGCTTCCAGAGATAATTGTCAACTTAAACGAAGTAAACCTCAATTGCCAAAAAAAAACCATTCCAGTCAGGTGTTGCCAAAAGCTCGCCCCATCCTGCGATCACGTTAATCCTTTAATGATTAATTCATGGTGGAATTGGCTGATGACAATGTGCACAAATTGGGAATTTCTTTGCTCCTCACACGTGGCAACAATCTCGAAAGTGGTAACAGTTACGCTTCAACTCCAAAAACCTTCTATGAAAAATATACCGAAATGCGAATGAGTTTCTTGCATCTAATGCATCAGCAAGAGCACTGATAACTAGCTCATGGACTGGACTCAGTTATAACTGTAGAACTGAGTTGATGCCTTGCACACTTCGGATGCATTCCAAAATCCATAAGTCATCACTCCAAAGTGCATTTCTACCGTGCACACCATTGCTCAAAATGAATGCAAAATCGCACTGCTGCACAATTTTGACGTTCCCGTTGATGAATTAATTAGGCACTTGAGAGAAGAGAATAAAGTATGATTTAATGAGAACAAAATGAGGAGATGAACTTTAAAAGATGGCGTAATCAAGATCACAGAATCAAGACTCTCATAAAAGCATCATAGATTTTGACATGCTGAACAATTTTAGTAACATTGCAATGTCCTAAGTTTTAATCAGGTGAACAATAATTAATTGAAGTGAGCATGTGGCATATTATAATAATGAACTGCATCACCAACACAGAGTTGCATTTTTGCGTTCATGTTTTTTGGGCACAGCGTTCATCTAACAATTACATGTTTCTCTCAACGATATTGAAGGCGACATATTACTGAGCGAAAATGATTTAAAGAAAATTAACGAAGAAACACTCTCTGAACAAATAATCTGGATATGACGTTAAATATCTGATATTCATCTGGAATTATGAGCAATTGGGCAACTCAAATAAAAATCACTGAAATTGTTTATTTGACGATACTATTCTTCTGAATCATGAAACTGCACTTAAGCATTATCAAGCACCGTCGCTTGTGGAACTGGATTCTGAATCGGCGTCGTATTCGATTTCTCGTTATCCTGTCAATTTAACTCATTTTAAGAAAGTCACGCTGGAGTACTAGGCTATTTGTTCATTAAAAGAACGATTTATCTTAGAATATTCCACCGTTCAAAATCAAAATTGAACTATTCATTTTCTATCGTGATGAAAAAAAGGATATTGTTATGGATATTATGAGTATTGTTAGCACGCAATAATATCAATCATGACCAACTGAAAAATGCTGAAGTTATGATCAGTGAATCATCCTAATCATTCACGCAATTAGTAATATGTGAACAGTGTTACCCACCTGATCACCGTATACTGTTTCAAATACCTTCGTGAATTTTGCGGCCGTTGTAGTTTCTGTCATTGGAGCTACGAGTGAACCATGCTGAAGTTATGATTTCTTATTGATATTAGAAGACGTTTATTGTACGCAAATATGACTTTCAAGGAAACAATTTCATCAGGTAGCATTTAAAAAAAGAAATTCCACAACGCGCTGCACAATGCGCTATCTGTGCTTTTTACCCAAACGAGTGCTTTTCTATTGAAATTATGAATTTTTCTTTTGGATCAAGTCGACCTTGGTCATAGATGGTATATATTTGCTTCGGAACTGATGACTTAAGCTTGTTGCATGAAAAGGAGGATGGCATGCGAGAAGATCAATAGAACCTGAGATGTAACAGTTTGTGTTTCAGATTGCGGTTCCATTACTTCAGCGACCCGTGACACGTTCAAAGGATCCACTTTGTCTGGAGTGCCCTTCAATCCTGGCGTTATTCGAGCCGTAGCTGACCATATGCGTGCTATCATATAACCAATTCCCACACCAAAAGCCAACAACAAAATTAAGCTTGGTCCTAGTATAATAGCGATTGTTCCTGTTGATAGACAATGACCTGAAACGTCAAAATTCCGTTCATCATCAGTGATCTGATCCCCAAAAATACAACAGCAACAAACTCTGTCCGAATCAGAAAAGCGATCGCATTGCGTTACTGCAACTGAATCAACAAGGCACAAATATTTGTTGAAGAATCTGTACTGAATTATTATCACTGTATTTTATGCAATACTAACCATCACACGGTATGCACGCAGTTTCTTTCGAGCCTTTGTGTGAATTCGAGCCTTTGTGCGAGTTCGAAGACGGACTTGATGTCTCATCATCGTCCTTATTCGTTTCGTCGTCATCATCAGTTTCGTTGTCAGTTGAAGGTGTCGCTTGCTCGGCACTTATTTTTTTTAATGTTGAGGTGGGAGTTGAAGCTTTTTTCGTGGTTGCTTTAGTTGGCTTAGGTTTTTGTACTGTTGGCTTGGGTTTTTGTACTATTGGCTTGGGTTTTTGTACTGTTGGCTTGGGTTTTTGTACTGTTGGATTAGGTTTTGGTACTACTGGCTTAGGTGTTTGTACTATTGGCTTAGGTGTTTGTACTACTGGCTTAGGTTTTTGTACTGTTGGCTTAACTATTTGTTCACGATGAGAGCAGTTCACATTTATGATTAACTCTTTCAAATCTATGCCATTTGCAGATTTATGAAGTTCGCCCCGAGGCCAGTAAACCAATCTCAGAAAACATTCACCATCCCATGTGCACCTGCCCTGAAATATCGAAAATGTGACATGCATGACTCACAACTGAGAAACAAAGTCCATATCTTTCTCTAATTCTCTTATACTCATGTCTTTATTTCACACTTTTGAGCAATCCGATAGAAATACTTTCGTGTAATTTCACATTGTTTTCTATGAAGTATAATGCAAACAGCACGTTTTCGTCAATGAGCTTAATTGGAAAAATCATCAATCAAATGAGAATGCCTCAGTTATATCGATGTGAACTAAACTGACAGCCATATATATCACACTTACATTGCACTTGAATTCCGCTATATTTTGCGATACGTTTACATTCCAAGTAATCGGCCGATTAGGTAATATATCAGTGTCTGTTTCAATTACTTTGAAATGTTGCTTACAATCTTCTGATAAATCTTGTACTACGAAAACAATGCTGCCACTTTCAATTTTAGCCGGAATGTTTGTGCAATTCTCTCTCATTTGAGTGGTATCCTGAATCAGAGGAATAAGAAATCTTTTGACGCCATCTTTTCCGTCATCAATATAAAAAATTTCATATGTTCAAGACAGTGAGAAACAAATCCAACTCAATACGAGAATAAATAACGGAGGTTTAAGAAAATGCGAAGCAATGTCAAAAACAATGCAGTGACAACAAATCTTTAACAATTTGGCATTGAATTAATCATTTGTTCAATTTTATTGCACACAGCGGACAAAAGTGACGCTGAATGATGGTTTGTTATGTTTAATCATTCGGGAACATTCTAATACCTCGGCCGAATTAACACCACTTCAAAACACTGAATTCGTTTTCGTCCAGTTCAATTCGAACTTACCAATGATGTGTTGCTAACCAAAAAGACTGTGCTACCATATACTTTGTTTCCTCCACATCGCGAAATCGTTGCGAGAATCATCACAACGAGAAGACCGGAGCGCATTGTACCAGCGCTCAATTGATAAATGATCTGTATGACATCGGATGAGCGTGCGATAGGCATCAATTAATTTGTAAATTCTCAGTCCCATTCAAATTTTTGGCGAATTTCAAATTTTCAAATTTGATGAAAACAAAATTCAAATTTAAATGGCAAAATCGGCGAAAAAAGTCTGAATTTGAAAATTCAATTTCTGATTTGCCAACTAGAATTGTTGAGAACCCGTCACCTAGACTATATAATTGTGATATCACAATGTTTTAGATGGCTAAGTGAATTCAGCTTCCTGCTATATTGATGTCGGACACTTACTCGGTGATCGAACAATGATAGGTTGATTTGCCGATCGCTCTGGGCGATCGAGTTACTATTATTATCCATTGAATAATGGATAATAATCGTAACTCGATCGCCGAGTAGCAATCCATTGAATAATCGTAACAGAGTGTTACGATTATTCAATGGATTGCTACTCGGTTGTGTTTAACTGCGCAAGGTACTTATGGTTACGACAACGCGATGTCCAAGCAACAAATTCAAACTTCTGACGAAAAAAAAACTTATCAATATGGTATCAGCTCGAGAATAATTCCTGAGCTTATTGATAAGCTGATGCCACATTGATAAGTTTTGTTTAGTTTTTTAGACCACACGATATCCAGACCACTTTGTGCTTGGCTGTGAAATGTTTAATATGCCGATCGTTGTGCATCTGTTCGCTTACATCGATTGAACTCGTTGTTTATTACTAATCTCGAAAGATAGCCAGCTTACTATTGTCGATTGTTTCAAACAGCTACAAGAGCGATCATTGCACGCATGATCAACGGGAATGTATTTTCGAGCTCATTTTCAATCCCATTCAATAGCAATCACTGGGCAATATAGGAGGGTAGCCCTACACCTTTATGCTCGCCAGATCAATGATCGAAGTCAGAATAGATGACCCTCCGCGAAAAGAAGGATATCAAGGAGAAAGAATGTGACAATAATAGCGAGGCATGCATTAATGATGAGTTGATATTGCAATTGATGAGTTGTAATTGCTGATGCAAAACGCCATCATTTTTGCATAGTATAATAATTGCAATATTTGCATCGGTTCAAATCTTTACAATTCAAAACGTGGCATCACATTCACATTCGTTCATTCATTGACTGTTTTTATTGAACATCTCAACAGTACTGAACGAACCAGCCCAACAGTTGTAAGCAAGTGAATCAGTATGAAAACTCCTCACCTCGTCAGGTCTAGATGAAGTCTGGAGACGAACACAAGCGCACCGCTCCAGACCAGAGATACCAAATGATTATTGTTTGATCGTGAGATCATTTTAAAACAATAAATCAATTTGCAAATTCAGCGACTGGAATTTATGCGATTTATCATTTTCAATTTCGATTATTCATTCAATGTCGACGACAAGAATTTTGATTTTTCAAACGAAACTAGAATGTAAACCCTAAACATTCGGTTTCTCAACAGGTCATTAATTAATTTCGAATGCATTTTCGGCCTGTTTCCTGCCATCATTCCCTCTAGAAATCATAAGGCAGTATGCGTGAGTATCCCCAGCTACATCACACCGTTCACTCATGTTCATGTCTATAAAACTGAATCTCAACCACCACAACCCATGTTTGAACGTAAGCCGTATGATGAATGCAATCAAATTTCTGTATCACTGAGTAAACTCTGTTAAAATTCTCTTCCTTTGCGACAGAATTCCAACCAAAACGAAAATTCGCAGCCCAGCAATGACCGTTCAATGATTCAGTACATTCATGTCAATTGTATTCAATAGCAAGTGCAATTTATTTATACATTCAGTACTGAAGTGCATTTGTTTTCCCCTTATTGATAATTCAATTCATAACAATAATCCTATTGTATGAGTTGATTCTATTTAGTTTGTTTTGTCTGAATGTGAGGATTCAACAACACAGTATTGCTCACTTATGAAATTCATTCACTTCATCAAGACAATCGAAACACTCGATTTCATTTTTCCGTCAAATAACTCTTTTATCGTCCACTTTCGTGTGATAAAGCATTGCAGTTGGTATCATATTACGATAGATCAACATTGCGATATACAATGCAATTTTTTTATCGCAAATCGCAAACGAAACGACAAAAAACAACATTTAGTGAATTGATAAATAATTAATTATATTATTGGTCTTCAAAATGAGCGAACGATCTGAAACATCAATAATGATTTTGTTAATAATAATGATAATAACAATAATAATAATGATAATAACAGTAATGAAAGCAATAATAAATAAGACTAATAATAGCAGATTACACCAACACAAAACAAAATGAAGTAATATCACTAAGTTTTGAACTGAATTCAAAAACTGATCAAAGAAACACAAAAACAATACGAATGAGAATAAATGAATGACAAAGAGTAACACGCTCCAACATTTTCTTTGAAACATCATTAAAACAACAGAAATATGTATGCTCGCACAACAACAGCTACTCTCCATGGTGAATTCAGAGTTGTTCCTGCGTTTCGAGTACAAGAGTGAATGAAGATCAATCAATCATTCTAATTGATTCGACCGATTTGGGATCACATTTGGGATCAAGCTGTAATACTGCAGTTGCGCTAAAGTAATTGCTTTTGAAAGCCAGGAATTTCCGTGCACAATTCCATTTGCTTGATTGTCCCGATCAATTCTCCGAGAGATTTTCAGATGAACGATAAAAGAAACTGGAAGAAAATATGTTTTTTGTGGTTTTTTCTAATGCTATAACAATTTTGCAAACATTGCGTTTGGAAAAGAACAAAAAAAACTTTTGCTTAACAATTAAACGGAATAAATTAATGAACTGAATAAGGAAAACGAAAATCAGAAACAAAAACGACTAATGACAAACAACAACAGCAACAATGACCAACGACGAGCTGCTCTCGTGTACAATGGTGAAACAAACGAAATAATAAACTTAAAAGCAATCACTTTAAAATTCACGAAACTATTGCACACATAATACTATGGAGGCTATTCGATAGAGCGATTTTTTGTTTGTTTTTATCAAAACAATTCGAAAATTTTCGACAAAATTGAATGCAATTTCAAAGCAAAATGAAACATTTAGTATATATGGGAATAAATGACAATCGTTTACGTTATCGAACTCGACAAAATACCAATTGCTTTCAAAAGATGAATGGGAATAACTTCAAGCATTGTTACTTAACGATCTTATGAATATTACTTTAACTGAAAATATTCCCGCAATCATGTTGCATTGAATTAATCCATTACAAAAACGAAACGCCTTATCTATATACTATCTATCTATCACATATCATTATCATTATTATTACTATTATTAATATCAACATCATAAAACAACAAACATGAATCAATCAATTAATGAACACAACAAAGCATCACTATCACAATTGTCAAGAAATAAATAAATAAACAATGAAAAGATGATAAATGAATAAATAACAAAAACAATGATCAATAGAAATGACTGAGAGATAACCACAATAATATCAGTCACGATAACGAAAGCTTTCAGAATTGAATCAGCCCGGAACACGCAAATCACATTATTCGTATGTGCAATAAATCGAACAATTTAAGAGACAAAAAACAAACGATTCACTAATCACAGAATGAAAATGTTCCAATACAATACTGTTTCATAAACGTGATTAACTCTCTAAAAGAGTCATCCTTGAAAATACCTTCAAAGTGCTCGTTCTATTCGATGACACCAGAAATTGAATGAATGAAACCGCGTGATATCCAACAAACTTACTATTATTAGAGTGATAAAACGAACTCAACTCGACATTTAAGCACACAAAAACGATTAAAACAGTGACTGAAGGTGTGTGTGATGAAAACAACCAAATAAACTGATAACAATGGCATGAATATTATTGTAAACGATTCAATCGAATACAAACAAATCAACTGAATACTAATCAACTCAGTGAAGTGAATAACGATGTTGATACTCGTAGTGCCACTTATTAAAGTCAATATTGAACACTACTATGGCACCTGAATCAAGTCCGGCCAAAACGAAACGTTGATTCGACGATAACGCCACGCTACGTACCGCACTATCTGTTTGCTGAAAATCCACTATTTGCTTATGTTTGATTCTCCCTAGGATAAAATTTGAAAATTTTGCAAGTCAAATTTTACGCATTATTATGCTACAATTCACGAAATCAGTCTGCAGAATTGTAAATTAGATCGATGAAAATCCACGATGAAAATGTGCTCGACTGAACACTTTCATATGCATGAATCGTTCAACTCGATGAAAGATCTGCATCAAACACTCAAATGCACATACAAATGGTCAATTTAAATATAGAAAGAATGTTGTCGGCTTCCTCACCTGGAATGAATACAACAGTTTCAATGGGAACAAGCGAAGCACTGAGACACGTCCCTCTTCGCTTCCAACAATTATATATTCACCATCTCTTGACAGTACACCACACAGGATTCGTTCTGGTGACCTTAAAACATCACGAATATTATTCGAACACAACAACTGTCGCCTCCAAAAATCAATTCTGATTCCTCTCTTTACCAATCTGGTGAAAAAAAAAACTGAATTTCGAATTTCAAACCATACACAGACATTATGCAATACTGCAAACTAAGCTGTGTAACAAAAATGATCGATATATGAACAATCTAAAGAAAAGTGAATTACTCAATGAACCCTATCTGATCGAATTGATCCCAACGAATATATCCCGAAAACTGCGTCCAGTTCGAATGTTCGAGGATGAATAAATAAAATAAGTGAAAGCAAATGAACATAATCAATCGGGTACATGAAGATTATGAACCTTAAATATCCCAACTGTCGTCCGGTTGTGGTGAACGTAATCAGATGTTCACGCGCATACAGCACAACAAGAACGCATTCGCGTGACATTAACAGCAAGTTGACACCAGCAGACTCCATCAGGTTCATTGACAATGTGGATGCGATACGTCTCAGCAGATCGCCTTGAGTTGTGTGAATCAACACCGTTCCATCTGTAAGCAGTCCTATCACCATCACGTGAGATCTTTTTGTGCACTGATCAAATAATTCATAATACAATACAGATTCGCATCAGAGCGTTCAATGTAACGTAAATTATAACCTTGCATGTCACATGTGTGCCATTACATAAAATACCCGAATCACACTTCAAAACAGCCACTAATTCAAAATTTTAAACTCTTATTAATAGGCAATATTTGGTTTCCGTTTCAACAGTAAACTCCACACAAACTCACCTTTGGATGCCGACAGTACAAGGCCATGTTCAGCCGAGACACAAATCATTGTGATATGCGCATCATGACCCGTCAGAATGGCACGTGGAGCAGCCACTTCGCCTGGAAAAAATATTCACATGTTTGTATTGTGTGCGAACTATAGTTCATTTATACAACGCTAAGTGACCTAATACAATTCACAGGAACCGATAAACGAATAATGAAACAAACCAACAAAAAACAACAAATCTTCTAGACATCAAATCTTCATCACATCACCTACTAGACACGGTTGTATAAAACTGCAATAACACGATTACCACAACTGTTCTTAACATCATTTTGATCTCGAATATCAGCCAGTAATCTTTCAGCAAATGAACAACGAAACCGCAAAAGAAACCAACCCGGAAGATTGTACTCTCCGGCAATGGTTTGTGTTTGCGCATTCCAATGCCACAAAACCACTGTGCAATCCAAACTTCCGGATGCCACATAACAATCCGCGAACAGATTCGCCTCCGATCTCGTCAGACATGTCACCACATCGCCGTGTCCATATACCACTTGACGAACTCGTGCTGAATTCAATACATTCATTTCGAATACTTTATAATCTGCACTCAACGGCAATTGCAGTCTTAAAAACACTTCAACACATCTTAAAATATTCAATTTCTGCAATATTTACAACTGAAAAGTGTACATAATCCCTGCAATATTTACAGTTGGCAACCCAATATTGCAAAATCTTTTCTATTCCCAAGAATTTTCAATGAAACAACGGCTAAATGAACAACGAAAAGCCACTCATGTATACTAATCGCCGTTCACAACACAGTTTTAAACAAATCACACTGCTGCAATAATAATCGGATGAGAAAATCAGACAGCATAAACTCAAAACCACCGCTAACCAGTATCTGTATCGATAATACGAAAACTGTAATCCGGATATCCACACACAAGAATCGTTCGACTTTCAACTGTCGTCACAAAGTTATTCCATCGAATTTTCAGTCGTTGATCCAACGCATCGCCCAAATGACGACGTGCTAATGGCTGTGACGGATTGCCTGAATTATGCAGAAAACATTTCATCACACTTGAGAATATTCTAATTGCATTGTGAAAGTCGTTTTTTTCAACAACAAAAAAAATTTCAAAATGTTGCTGCAAAATTCACACGCACACACAAATGTATTTCAGCTGAAAACACCTCAGCAAAACACCAACCAGCTGCTAATAATGGATCAACGGTTAGCGGTAAATTGCTTGGCGCACTTGTAAGCGATTCAGACGGTGTACCAACTTCACTCGATGAGTTAATCGCTGGCGTTAACGGAGTCGCAGCTGAGCCTGAAATTATTTCTCGATTATTGCTCTTTCAGCAACCACTCAGTTCCGTGCAATGCACGTCAACAACCCGTAATCAGTCATCAACTCTTTAGATGCCTTTCCATTGCACCAGAAAGGATTTATAAAATCGACTCTGTGGAAGAATTTGCAGAAGAAAACTATCGAATAGAACTCTGACTGACGAGAATCCGCTAACTACAAGTGAAAACGACAATAAATAAAAAATGAGTGGGATAATTTCATAAGCTTTCAACATGTTCATATGAAAATGATATTCATATCAAAATGAATGGAAATTTGACTTTCAATTATTGAATCCAATTTGCAATCATCGAAAAATTATAGTAAATGAACGTATGTAAATTCCAAATCCTAAAATAGTAAATTCCAAGCAACTTTATCACACAGCTGCTGCTTGAATGAAATATTCTGTTATCACAGCAGCTTACCGTCGCGAATCTCGTGACAAGACTACGCCAACTCAATTCTGAATCGACAACTCTGTCTAGCCTCACAATCAAATTCTCATCGAATACAACCAGTGCTGCCACTGAGAACATGATCAGTTGCTCACCTGTATATGAGTTATTCCATCGATTCAACGCGAACACCAAATTATTCGCTATTGAAATTACCGTTGGGTGAGGTAATTGTGCGAATGTATTTGCACTTATGTGAACGATTGCGCTGTTCGAGATGAACTTCATCAACATACACAAATCGTCTTGACATGATTGGAACATTGTCGGACTCTGAATTCATTTCATCAACTCATTCGCGTTCTTTTCATCAACAAACGCTATCTGATATTGCCGAAAAAGCCTTAGCATGAAATTCTCTTCAGAAATTAATTCTCATTTATCTCTTCGATCAAATTTTTTGCTCTCTATTCCTTTTCTATTTCATATTTTATGTTCCTATTTCAACTTCAAACTTCACCTCATCTCTCCGACTAATTAGCGTTTCTAATCAAAAAACCCTCAAACAAATTTCCTTCAAAGCCGTTCGAATCAGCTATACCTTTTCGCTCATTCAGGTAACAATCAATTTCATGCGCTTTATTTTCAGCACACATTGCTTTGTTCATCTGTTTGCCCATTCTTAACAAATGATGATTTCTTCGGTTTTGTTAAATCAAACGAAAGACAAAATTACAGATTTCCTGATGAGCAGCACAACGAGTGAAAAGCATTTCGTTCTAGCAGATAAATTCGATGCAAAACGACGTAGCCTATTATTAAAGGAATAGAAGACAAATCGAAAATTCGAACACGAAAGAGAACTCTTCTATCGCTTTGCATATGTTTCCTTCAATACAAATCGGCAGGTGCACCCAATAAAATAACTCATTACATACTGTTTTCTGTCATTGTTTCTTATGATTACCTTGTCAAGACTCACCACATCTAATCATAAATCAATCACCTCACAATGATCAACATCACGTTAGATTGAACATCATTCATTATTGTTCGGCGCTTTAGTATATTATTCTCAAGATTATGATGAATTTTAGTAATATTATCATTAATGTTCCTAGTATCGTTTCAACTGTCGCATGTGATAGATAAAGTGATAAGATTTAACAATAAAGGATGAAATAACAAGGTCAACACTAACAATAGTCATGACCGAATGTCTGGGTGCATGCGGTTCAGTCATCAACTGTGCAGGTGTTTGACCGAATGCGATCATTTGCTGTTCGATGCCCTCACGAACTGCTGCATTTTCAATCGAATTCAGATTCAACGCACCTTCGTAGGTCAGATAGTAGAAAACATTCGTCGCACGCACCTTTAACCAACAAAAAATATACTCCGTTCATATTCCTCATTAAGCAATCAATTACAAATAATCTTTCATTGAATAATAAATCACGAATATTCCCAAATTTTCATCGTATTTCTAACGATTTGCAAACCCTTTCACAATTTCCAAATCATCATAAGCAATATTTCCTTGAATGATGATTCCACAACAACCGCGTTCTCTAAACAAATGTTCTCCAAACAATTTCACACCATTCGTTTTCCGAAACATTCATCTGACAAAGCAAACTTTCATAATATGAGAGCTAAAACTGTTCAAACAATTGGCCCAGAAGCAATTCAATTCTTCCGAGCTCTGGAAATGTGATTACAATTCAATGGATCAACGACATGCGCACTTGCACGATAATAATAATAATAATAATAATAATAATAACGACTGTGCAACAGCAATTGATCATATCATAAGTTATTGATAAAATATCGTAATATTGCAAAAGAACGCATGGGTCATCACTTACAGCTTCAGGTCCTTTTTGCTTATAACCAAAAATAAGATCAATCCACTGATTAAGTTGACACGAAACCAGATCCGATTCTAGCGCTTGTCTATGCAGATTGATAAAGTGTTCGGCACTCTTGGCCCATGCTGGCAAAACCACGTCACTCACAACGGTGCCATCATCTCGTGCACCCAGATCAAAACCGTTTCCATTCAACAGCATTTCTGGCATATAGAACAATTCTGGGATTAACTCCTAAAATGTCAGTTCAAATAACACTTAAGCATAACTAATGTACCCATCTATATCATTGCAAAGAATGTGAAATGAAACAATTGAATCAAAATGCGAAGCAATCACACTCAACCGACCTTAACATCATGCGAATCACGTTGACAATTCTCCCATGCTTCACCGATACTATGAAACAGACGATTTGAATGATCAAATTTGCCACTTTGCATGTGCAAAAACATCGTTGTGAACGGCTCCTAGAAATGAAAATAAAGTCATACCACATATATGTATGTGATAAATGTATTACTTTAACGAATAATAACAGATAATTAGATGATAGATACAAGCCGATATTTAGACAACAGATTCCCGTTCGCGGAGGAAAGTTCTGCTCGAAACCAAGTGGTGTACCATTAATGTACTACTTTATCTAATCTGTGTGATCGAAATTGCAAACAGCGTGAAGAATACGAAATTTCACTGAAAATGTCTGTCAAGAAAGAAAAGAAGTTTCACAGTGAAACGCACCACTCTAAGGAGCCAGTTCAGTGTGAACGCTTGAGTTGAATAGTGTGTACCGTAATGGAACGGCGGAATAGTTTCGTGCTCCCATGATGAATAACGCTCTTGGAAATATTTACGACGAGATTCACTTAGCGCACCGACTGGCTGAAACAAATGCCCTGCCTGATTCATCGCAGCTGATCACAGCTCATCACATCAGCAATTCGGCAAAATTTCAGACGGATAATTTTAGTTGGAAGCAGACAAGAACCACCAAAATACACCAAAGATTTCTTTCGCTTAGTGAACAATTCTTATTTATGATCATTATTAATGAACAATGATTTGAAGCAATCATAGTTATACCTTCGAAAGATCTCTGAAGTTCGAAGCAATATTCAAATCGAGTGTGCTTGACGTATAGTTTGCAAGTACCCATGGGAATATCGGGTATTGATTCAGATCATTGTAGGTACGTCCGGCGATTGTGTTCAAAAACATCAAATAGTCAAAGTTCGATATTTCACGTCGTTGCCATTTCTGCGGCATATCGGAATGTTTGAAGAGTTGCCGAGGTGTCATTAGACTCGTCTTTCGGCTCTGCGGGAGGCCATATTTCACACCAACACCCACACGCGGCAAACAATCCACCACTTTGCGTACAGTATCCTCGTCCGCAAACGCAAACATTATGGCGGCTTAAATTTACAATCGATTCAGTTATTACAAAATAATTATCACTCAATCAGATCAGTTACTTCCTAATTCTTGCCATCTTACTAAAACAATGAAAATAGACAACACGATACAATACCATTGGACAAATTACTGAAGTAAACATCTACACCTATGTAACAAACCACCGAATAAAATCAATCTTTTTTCACAACTCCCTCAAACGAATTTCAAAATTTCAACAACACGCAGCCAAACAACGAACGATCATGATAAGATTTCGATGCTTCTCAGTGTCAAGCCGGGATTTTTCAATGCATAGAACGGAAATCAATATCGCTGAATCGAATAAAACAAATTAATCCAAAGACCGACTTCTTGACGCAAGAAACAGTTCGAGTGCCGTATTCTCGAGAAGATAACGTCGTAAGAAAATGGCTCGTATCTCGTGAAAATGCCATCTTCCATGCAGATTATCACAGTACCGTAGACTCTGAAATAAAAATACACACAGTGAAATTCGGAAACGTCATTCACGCTGAAATGATTCAATCAATCCAACAACACTCGCAAACTGGAACAATTCAAGCTGATGACGAAAACACGATGTGCTCCGAGAGTAGTAGCTTTTCCAGATGAAAACTGTGCTCTTTCATCAAAATAACTCTCCAACGCATCCATCTAAGAAGTTCAAAATACGGCCTCTCCCATGCAGTTTTTTTGTATAAGTAATCAAACAGAATCACGCAGTTTTTATAAGAAATCAACACTGGATAACGGTTTTAGAAGGAATCAAACGAACCCATCAACATTCAATACCCGTCTCTCCACTCTAGTGACTACTAACTGTTATGTTTCACTAATAAGATGTGGAAGCCAATAGACTTTCTGCAGTTTCTGCAGCTTAAGCTTATTTTCAGATTTAATTCTTCATCCATCATTCGGTGCACAAAACTCTGGCTAGAAGGAAGTTGCAAAACGGAGATGAAAAATTTTGCGAATAAATTGTGGTTTCGGTTATAAGGAGAATCGTGATTCTGATGGCACGAAAAGAAAAACGACAAAATTGAGACTAATGAAACGACTAATAAATGAATAAATAATTTGTCTGTACTTTCGAAGAAGTTCTTCATATGTGCGGATGAATCGATTGATGATAGCGATTATGATGGGTGTATTAAACGGATATGAGTTGGACGAGAATGCAAGAGTGTAAGTTACTCGAGAATGACACTCCTGGGATTAATGAACACAAAAGAGCACTTGTCAACACTCACCATTCAGCTAATTCATCATTTCTTCTATAATAATTAACATCCATCGTGCTTTCGTTCGCGTTTCTATACTTAGCTATTTACTTACACAAATGAAAATACGCTCACACAACAACCACTGATATCATCATCAACTACATATTTCATCCAAAATCATCACTAAAATTCCCATTCAAATACCCGAATTCCTCTAATCACTTCCATTACAATCCCGTTCGCATTCCAACTCAAAGAGGCGTTCCCCAAAACTACCGTATACTCAGTGATTTTTCCTCACTGCACTCTTTAATCCCCTATTCACCATTAATCATCCAGAACACGCGACCACTCTCCTTCTCTGCACCAGCACACTCTCTCACATCGGTAATGCGATGATGCCTGTGTCTCTCTTCAAATTCGTCGCTAACTTCAGAAGGTAATAAAGTCGCGCATAAATAAACCACCGAAACGTTTGCGATATCAATCATCCAATCACCTCTAAATTTACAGTTATGGTGGCTGATTGAACATCTGACGACGATGACGGTATGCGATGCCGTGGCCAGCAGTTTTTCCAGAAGGACTGAAGGAGGCACACCTCGCACACTCCTTTTTTGGCTACGTTTATGGCGACAAGCATTCGATAAATTCAAAGTTCGAGATCGAACGTTCAGCTAACATCTTCAGAATGTTGTTACTCTTCGCGATGTGCTTATGTTTGGAGTGCTGAGGATAACTCAGAACCAAAAACAACCGAACACTATTTCTAGAAGAGATAATGCAAAAAAAATCAGTGATAACGCTTTGAACAGGTTCGTTCGGTCAGTAACTAGTAAAAGGTTCATGATAAACTGCTTGAAAAGCGTTAGTCCCTCAAAATGAAAAGTGTTTGTATGAATATATATCCATATGTGGATAAATAAATATCAGAATTATATACGAGTTGAACGAATCGCTGAAATATAAAGCTTCGACCCAATTTTCTCATCATCACCACACAACAACAATTACGTTCAATGAGCATAAAATTGCTGTGTCAGTCAGATTTCTGGTTCGATTAAACTATAATTGCTCATGTATTCTGATACCCTTTCCTTTTCCCTCATTTCAAATCCATTCGCTGAAGCTGTGAACTCAAAAACGCACTCCATTATTCATCCATACATATGCGTATAGGTCATCACAATTAATAAGCACATTAAAATAAAAACCATTATAATGACAATAATATCGACCATTATCATAATAATACCCCCTGCTCAAATACCAGTCATCACTTCATCAAATCGAATCGAATCATATTTCACGTAACAGCTGATCTCCATCAAATCTTCTTCAGCTTTGATTTATCTTATTCACTCTTTTGAACATTTGCTCTTTCTTCACTGATGAACAGACAATGAAATTATTACAAATCGAAAAAAAACCGCTCTCCCATTTCACTGTTTTCAGTTACCTTAACGAACTCACTGACAACGAGATATCAAGTACTCATATCCATTTCCCATCTGAATACTCCTAAAACAATCGGACATTCCTAGATATCAGATAGATAACACTCTTAGATACAATCCAGACATCATTCGATGACTAGACATTGCATATGACTTACTATCGACGGAAGGATAATGGATAATAAATCTGTATTGAAGTGAAGTTCACCTAACAAAAAGCCAGCGAACTGCATCTTAAACAAAACCATTTAGTCAATTCAGCGCTATAGCTGGGATGCAAATTACTCAAAATTTCAAGCAAACTATTTCACATGATTGGACTTCTCAAAAACCATAGAAAATCATTCGAGGATGACGATCTATCTCTACGATTACCTTTTCGAGCGTACAAAAACACCTTTCCAGATATCCTTTCGAGCATGCACAAATTCAACTAAGTTCGGCTCATTGTCTGATAGGATGAAATGTGTGTCGTCTTATCAAAAAATACCGATCAAATGAACAATCAATGCACGAGTCGATCATTGTAGCAAAAGAGTAATATGTCGATATGCTGTAATGATATCACCTTCCCCAATTGAATGTGTGAATATTTTGAGGTAAATAACTTAATGCAATGTGATGTGCGTGATGAACACAGATATTCACAAAATCTGCATAGTAACCGATAAGATTATACGCGAGTATTAGTGCCGTCAGATGGGAAATGTCACAAAACATTACACATGCAGCCATCAACTTTTCAACTTCCATTTCAACAACTCAACGATGAGTGTCAAAGAATGCTGCATTATAACATAACCACTACCAATAACCATCATAAAACGAGTCACTTACTACTCTCAATAGATTCAATTAGAATGCAACACACTGTATAATAGCATTGGTCATTCGTGTCATCTGCAGATGGCATTCGTTAATGTCACTGCATGTGCTAATGTACGGTAACAATCCGGTGCGAATACCATCAATACTGTTAAGAAAGCAAATCAAAATTTAGTTTTTGAACAACAACTCAAAATCATTGTTTTAGATGCATGGAATACGAAGACAACTGCAAAAAATAATAACTAGAAATATATAGGAAGTGAAGTGGAACGTAATGTTTGTTGGCTGTCGATCAGGTAATCATATCGATAACAATTCTAATGACAGTGCTGATAAAGTGACCATCGCTTTGAGCGGTTCGATCAGATCGACGATATCCGCTTCAATTAATGAACCGTAAACGATGAAAGACATGAACAAGTTTAAGAGATAGCGGGGATAAAGAAAGGTGACGAAATATAAATTTCGGTAGAATGGACAGTGACTGAATTGTGTGAAGTTTCTAGTCGTGATAATTCTAAAGATAATGCTACGACAATACTGATGTGATATCAGTGGTGACGAGGATAATGAACAACTCATAAAATTAAATAAGATGATGACGAAATAATAACAATATAAATAATAATTAATAATGAGAAATATGCGATCATAAGAATAAGAACGTAGGAAAACAATAAGAACAGAATGTAATAAGAATGTATCGTGTAAGTATAGTAGTCAGAGTTCTTAGGTTGTTAGATGCAATAAAGGATAAGGAGGAAGGTTGGTTCGTTTCTGGATTGCTGCCTTCTTGTTCGTGTTGTATTAGGTGAACGTGCTGTTTGGTTATTCGTTCTCTTCATTCTTCCGTTTGATGAATACTGAATGCTGCTGCTGCTGCTGCTGATTGATAATCATCGTGTTGAGAGTGGAATCGGTGGGTGGGTCGATCGGTTGTTCGTCTTCATTCGATCAAACAGCAATTGATGAAAGATGTGTTAGTGTAGCAATAGTTCATTCAGTTGTAGTTACTAGCAAAAAGTCTATGAATATTATGCGCTGTTGTTGATGATTCTGTGACGACTGAACTGAATGCAACGATGGATACTCGTCGTGGTGGTTGATTGAGAGAGACAGACCCACTGACGACCACTACCGCTCTCGTTCATTCTCGTTCGCTCAATCTACTCCACTAATCGTCTAATTCACATTCTTCAGTCAACGTCTAAGTCGGCGATTGTTAAATGTTTCTATCATTCTCACTGCATTATCATCACCATTATCAACGTTATCAGCATCATCATCAACTTTCTTAAGCATTCTCGAGAGTTGCACAAGAGTAGCAGAGCAAGTTCATTCATTCAACAACTAAATTAACGATCATCATCAAAACTAACTGATCGAATAACTGCCACATCCTTCCACTTACTTCTCTTTTATACCACTCATAACATATCATCATCACCTTCATTAATATCATTATATTACTCCAACTGTTCTGCTTATTACTACCAGTTTATTGTTGTTATTCCAAAATCAACAAACACTTCATTTCATTCAAAACTATTATTCTATCCCAAAAAATCTCTGAAATCCACATCCTGAATACCAGAAACAAAATCTACATTCCGCACTGTCAACTACCTAACTATACTTTACTATCTATTCAATGAACTAACACCTTATTAAGCACTTTGCTAAAAAATACTTTCTCAGCTGATCTATTTCATCAACTCATCATCAACCTATAATCTTTATTCCCTATCGCTAAATCCTCCCGATACCTGCGACAATCAATATACGACGCAGATTCGCAATTCATCCGATCGCTTGATTCTACGTCACAGTACCAAAACCGAAATCAAATTCCCCGAAAAACTGAATTAATTTCTGCCGCGTGTAACATATTTCCTCTCAATAAATCATCACTTGATTGATTTTTTTCCACATCAACAACAAATCAACGTCCGTCCCCATTCGCATTCATTCCTCATCATCATCATCAACTCACCTTATCGAGCAGAAATCTTGATGAGTGTCACTCGTCAACAATGTTAGGACAAAACAGCGCTGTCACCTCCTATCAGATATCGCATTACTTCAATGAACGAGTTGCGGCCCGTAAGGCGCACGTTCATAAGGCAGTGCATATGATCGCGAAGATCGTTCAAGAGATTCTAAAAGAAGTGGAAACTCAAGAGCCACGATTCATTTCGACACTTGTCAATAATAATGGTCGTTACGAAGGAGTGAGTTTGTCGGTTCATATAATTGCTTCATTAATGAACATTTGATGTTTTATTCTCATCAACTTCTGGCTTCAACTTACAAATTAGTCCATAAAGGAATATCGGTTGTTGTACATTGCTGATGTCCTTTGAAGATGTGCTCCCATACTCTATTACGATCTTCAATAATCATGCACACACACATTAATTTGAAGTGAGCGGTTTACGACAGCGATCGTTATTGATTCAACCTAATCCAATCCAATGCCATCCCAGGGTACTCGTCTTATAAAGCACCTTCTACCGTAGTCAGATGAGTGTGAGTATATATGTCTAAAACTCAACTGACACAAATTTCACACGATCCATTGAACACTCCATTCATTAATTCACCTTTCTACCTGTACACAGTGCAAAATAATATTTATTTCCTTGATCTACAATCCATATATGTCCTTTATCCGTAATCAATATTCCAGAGGCGAAACTCACGCACCAAAACTGATCGGAATACAAAATGACTTCCATGCCCCCATGCCCGATAAGATCCGAACTCGAAACCTTCCAATAAAGTCATCATCTGATTTCCCTCAAATCAGCACCTCAAAAACACTCAAGAAAGTCTCGACCGATGATCGAAAGAATTATTTACCTTTCGAAATAACGTTAAAACCCATTACTACCAAGCTTGTTAGCTAAATATAATATCATCTCGTTTGAAAATGGAATTTGATACTTAAGAAATCAGCATTCAAAAAACCAGATGACACAAGTTGGTGACAATAAATGCCTACTGCTGACAAGGAAGTCAGAGAAGGAAACGATCTCATCTCTCAGTCCAAGCGCATAAGCTCAAATGAATCCAAACTGACTGATCAAAACAAGGAGTGCCTCTGATAATGATAGTGACGATACGTTAATAAAACTGTAAGAAAACTGAAAATTCGTCAAGCATACGAACGAAATGAGATGAAAATTTTAAAAAATTCAATCGAATTGTCTTTCAGGTGATTGTGCATTCGCCATGCGAATATGAAGTGATATTGTATTTGAATCAAATGGGTGTGTTCAATTTTGTTGACGATGGCTCAATACAAGGATGTGCCGTGTTGAAACTAAGCGATGGCCGGAAGCGTTCCATGTCATTATGGGTGGAATTCATTACGGCCAGTGGCTATTTGTCGGCCAGGAAGATACGAAGCCGTTTTCAGACTCTAGTGGGACAAGCTGTTGATAAGTCACAATATCGTGACATTTGTAAATTAGTTACCGATACGAGCGACGTGAAGTTGCGCATTCACGACAAATACATCGTGCAGATCACTTGCGCTTTTCGTTGCAACGGTATATGGCCACGGAGTGCGAGTCAATGGCCTAGCAGTAGCATACCGTGGCCGAATCCAACCATAGCGAATGAGGTGAAAAACGAGGGCTTCGATCTGTTCAGTAAGGAGACAAACAATGCGCAAACACAGCCAAATAAACAGGTTCGTTGCTACGACGATTCTTGCGTGTCATTTGCTTCTCCATTCCTCGAAATCTTGTGATTCGAACGAAATTCGGACGAAAGAGTTACGATTCCAATCGAAATCTCGAAAATACTCGATCACCTACACCAGCTCTCCTAATTGATGTCGTTGTTGCAATATGACATGTGAAAACTTCTTGCTAATCGATACAAAAGCAAAATTGATACAGCAAGAAATGCAACTCGGCAAAATGAAAAATAAGCCAGTTCCATGAAAGTCTTCACCACAGGGCATATTTCATTCGGGTTTCAAGCTCGTGACCATGAACAACATCATGATTTGATCAGAGAGCATCATGTACTGAAGGATAACTCAGAGCTTAATGTTTCAACGTTCCTTTCTCCTCGTTAACTATTTATACCTTCTTCTTCTTCTTTCGGATCAGTCAGTTTCATAATATATCTCCGAATCGGCATCATTTCAACTATTACACTCGATACTGACTCACTCTAAAGCACCAACCAACGAACGAACATATATCACTCGGCTGAATGCGCTTAAACCCTTAAACCCCTCCTTGCCAACCGTATTCATCCAGCAGACGTTTATTTACTTACATGCTCACATTCACTCATGAAGAAATCATATTTTCTGTTCACTGATGAACGCCGCCAATCCATAATTCACATTCAATAATCGCTCAGAGCAAATGCATTTTCCTAATAGCTTACATCATTCATATATACGAAAATGAACCACAAAATTAGACATCCTACATATACATATATAATATATATGTTACAGATATACCTCATCTAGCAATATTCATCCAAATATAATACAATCCTACTCAAGTAATTCATCACGTTGCATATATTATTCATTAAAACAGAAGAAAACAACACGACACGGCCACACGGCACACAGTCAGCACTCTAGGCTCGCTCCCTCAAAACAACATGCTTCTCAAGAATAAGCTTGACAACAACACAGATCTATGTTTACCTCACTGTCAGTGAATAAAATAAGGCAACACAAAAATGGATTTACATGATCGATAAACCATACATTTAAATAGACAGCAACTATCTGCCAATAAACGATGCTCAAGCTTTAGAAAAATCCCTTTTTTCCTCAGTTCTAATTTTTTTCTCTCATTCGATTCTGAACGAAATGAATATGCATTTCGAATTAAAGGCAAGTTCAATGGAAGGTGATGCGTGGGCGATGAGTTTGAATAACGCTGAAAATACTCTGCTACAACACGGTTCGAGACGTAAGACGTTCTCGATTCTGAAATGCTTACGTGATACACATTTGGACTTTGTCTCATCGCCGATCAGCAATTACATTCTCAAGACATTGTTGCTATTCGAATGTGAGAAACACTACAATGAATACGAATGGGATGAATGCTTCATCGGTGACCGTGTTATTGGTTGGTGCTTCAATTGGTTTTCTTTTCAACTGAATCACTTTCACGCGTTTGATCTCATCGAATACCTTTCAAAACCACAAATTAACTGATTTTTTTTGAGCAACTCTTTTCTGGTTCTTTCAAAACGACCACATTTCATAGGGTAACTGAATCGAATTATCACTGAATTCTGGTGCAATCAGATTAGTTTACACCATTTCAACATCTCAAATTTGTTCCATTTCTGTTCATTCAACCATTTCACTTCATCCTTGCAAACTACCAACTCACTACGTTTCTTTAATCACTGCAACATTTTTTCACTGAATTATTCTACACTTAACGTTATTACAATCGTTCCTTTACACTAAAACGCAATCCAACAAGTTTTCTTCGACGATTTCAAACATCGGCTCTGTTCCGCCAAATTTAACATTTGATCAGTGATTTATTCACATCGACATCTTCTGCATTTTCCATTTCTCACTCTTTCCATCCCAATTTCCACTATACTATTCTCATTATCGCTATTTACAATGCCATATAATAATAGTGATAGTTCGTTCATTCTTAGTTGTATCATCATTACAATATCGATCATGACCATCTAATGTGATAACATGATTATAAATTTTTACTCCTCCTCAACAGATGTTAAAGAATTTGCCATAAGACAGAAGTGATGTTCTTTAAGAGAAGTATTCGTCAAGCTACGCACCATTCTCTTTTCAACAAATACTGTTGCACATAAACATTTGGGTGAATCAAATCAATGCCTTTTCAGGTGTACTCTTACAACTGGTATCATGCTTACAATGCCGTAAATGCCCTCATTATTTTTTACCACAACTTGATCTGTTGAAAGGTAAACCACACCATTTACTGGATCAAAGTGCCAAAATTACATGGAATCTTGTAAGGCAACTTATGCTCAACGCTCGCGCTCTGGAAAATCTATGATGCTCTCTCTCTCTCTCGTTTATTTACTTCACACTGATTTTTTATTTACTTATAAATGTAATTTAACGCTGCAATTTCAAGCATTTAATATTTTACATGTATGTATGTAAATCGCCGTTCACTGTTCATTCAACATTTCATATTGTACTGCTTTTCACCCTTCCTTCAGAAGTCTTCCACTCAAACGATACAAATGATCAATTGCAATTGTTCTTACATACTCAGCTTCACCAGAAACCTTTAGATAAAATATAAAATGCTCGAAATCATAATACAGCGAAATGCCAGCTTCACCTTTCACAATGTCAGTTGTTATTATTCTTTGAAAGCATCATGCATACTTGATTTTGGAATTCACTATTGATTTCGCGCATAATTAAGATAGAATACTGATAATACATGCTGAGTGTTCATTGTGACCTAACGAATCTAGTCGCTCATCTCACACCACTGAATCTTACGCTAAAGTCGGTATTACTACTGATTGTGAGAGTCATGAAAGTAGGGAACCCTTTACGCGATAGACAGCAAATCGTTTCCCTTCATCTCTTAAAAAGTGAAAACAATGATCCCCAAAAGAGGTCAAGGCTTCTCTATGAACGGAACGATGACAGTATAAGATGAAGTGACAAAAAAGAGAGTGTATGTGATAACGATTGATAAAGAACTTATGAAGTGTTGCACTAAGTCCAATTATGAGTGATAAATTTTTGTTTGAATCGCATTTGTTTGTTACGTTATTTTCCCGGTTATTGCCACTGTTTTCATGACAATAAAAATTGTTCGAAACTCTCTTCTTTTCATGAACACGATCAATTCATTGAATGTTGTTTGAGTTATTCTCTTCGATTGTGACCTGATTACCATTGATAGAGCAGATATTCTACAAGCTTAGTGCATCACGTCACACCCAAACCTTCGCATAACTTAACATCACCGTTGACTGACAACACCAACTACTCAGATATGCTCGATTGCAAATGTGCTTTCAAAATTACTTTCTCGCGAAGAGAATTCAAACTGTTATGCTTCAAAGGCCCCATGAATGTCAAATACAAACAAAAATAAACAAATAAATCAAACTGCATCAGAAGTTAGCCTCTCATCAATTAATCCAAAACAGAAAACTTGATGATATGCGAGAAACATGTGATAAGGATTGAAAAGAGCGTCGAGAGTAAACCGATCAGTAATCGAAATCTACATGCAAACAAACCTTGACATCCTGTTGTTGATAGAGTGGATGATCTTCGTCTGCGTCGAAGTACAACTCACTGTTCGTTATCGACAACGTTCCTGGCACAACAACGCCCGGAGCAATCAAACGGCCCGGTGTACTGTACGATGTATTTTCTGCAATTCAATAGCCTATTGTAGCTTATCACCGAACCGACTGATTCTGAGTTGACGACACACATTTTGATAAGGACATGAACGACAAAGAACTGGAAATGTGAATGACCACTTGGACAAACGATATTATTGGTCAGTCACCAGAAAATTGAAGACTTTCCTCAAGAAAGAGAGTAACGATGATAACTTAAGAGATATTCGTTCTGCGAAGGCAAATTTTTCAAAACTTGAGCTGCGACTAAAAACGGTGCGTTCACTACGCTTATCACATTCAGATATTCATTTCTATCAGTTTTCTGGTAAATTTTACATTTTCATGCTTACTTGATATGTCATGTTATACTTCCCTTCAGAAATCTCCACGTGAATCTAAAATTTCACTGGAAATTTGATTCCTTGATGAATTCTTCCCGGCAAGGCATTATTGTCGAACGATTATCATTCGGTACGACCAGAAAATTACGATAGATACAATTCATTCGGTGTCATTCTGCTTTACAATGATTCTACGATATACTGCGGTGGCTTGCAATACCGTACATAATGCTTTTTCATTGCTTAGTTCGAGAAAATTTTCAGTTCTTTTTTGATTAGTCGATTCGATGAGAGACGAAACAATTCGCTTAGTAGCTGAATCGTAAATGTGAACTGCTCACAAAGCCATAAACCCAATAAAGTCTTTAAGCGAGCACTCTTCCTTCCATCATCTTTCACAGTGTGGACAGATGAACGAATAAATGAATGTCTTTTACGATTCACTTAATCGCAAACGATGCCATTCGTTCTTGTTTTTATTTGCGATGGCAGCAGCGTGATACCGTATTCTTTTCGGGTCCATAACATACTTGACACATGATTTCAATCACATTCAACAAGATTAACGTCAAAAAGCGGATGTAAATATTTCAAAATTTTTCAAAATTTCGCCCAAATCTCTTGAATTATCGCATTTCTTAGTTCGATGACTCAAAACTATTTCAGTTCCAGGCTGATGTGACCAAAAGCCAACAATCACATACACCATGTGTATTCGCTAAGCATTCCGTTCTCCTGTTTCATACTTTTCAGCATTCACTTCGTCAGATTTATATGCAACGAATAAATATATTTAATGAATCAAAACATTCCGTCTCGATCGCATCACGGCATTCTTTCATTCATAAACAACATATACTTAATCCTCATTCAGTCTGTTCACACTTGTCAATCTTTTGCATTTTCACTATTCTCAAGTGCCACAAACTACTTCATAATCACTGAATGCACTCAACAAAAAAAAACACTGCTAACAGGTAGCAGCAGTTGGATACGTTGTAAAATGTAACAATTGATGAATACTGATCGATCAACTTTGATGTGCAAGCAATAAATTAGAACCTAATTTGATTGCATTCCAGTGAATGTTGGTGTGTATATGTACGAGACTATGAAATTTTGTTCTTCATTACAAATTGCTTCCATCGTGAAATGGTGAATTTGAATGAAACTTGCAGTAATATTGTTCCGCTGAACATAGCTACTGCACGTCTTCGACCAGATTTGCTCTGAGAGGTTATTTGGCGTTATCGCTCTTCAACAATCAATCTTAAATCAATCCACCAGTCTCGTATTCGAAATGAATCTGTCAGAAATCATTTTATTCTCTAGTTATCACTAGTTCCCAACTGATTATCACTACTGCAAACAACACTGACGCTGTCGTGATTACCTTATCATCACCCTTCATACACACAGCTGTTCGCATTACCCTTTCGCTTAACGACTACATTACTTATTAAACTGCTTCTGGTTATTTACAACTGTGATTATATCACATTATAGCACTTAACTCGACATGATTTAGCTATTTAATTTATGCAACACTGATTCAATTAAATCATATATTTCAATATGGGATTTAATTGTTACGACCAGCAGCACGCATTTTACTTTTTATGCAGCAGCGTGATTACTTGGAGAATCTTTCAATTTTCTGTTTAGTTCAATTTGGTTTCCTTTCCAAAAAATTAGACTGAACAATCCAAAATTGATGCTGAATTTCTAGTTTATTTACCACTTCAAACAGCTCACGCTATTATTACTCAATGTTGAGACCGCAAAAACTGTTTTTACCAATTCATTCGTAATGCTTTTCAAAAGAATTTAATTTCAACTCAAAGAATGAATCGAATGCATTCGACATTGACATTGACCTTTTTCGAACATAAGACAGACTATGCTGATGCTGAATTTCAAATGCAATTTCATTACGTCTAAATGAAATCAACTTCATTTTCCAAGAAACTGATCGCAGTGGCAATGACCAATAGGATGAGTTCTCGGTAGTGAATAGCAGCAGCAGCAGCAGCAGAGGCTTGTGCTCGGCTCTCTGGCTTAAATGCACGTTAGCCACTAATACCCAAAAACCATCCATCAAATACTTGCTTCCGATCTAATCTCTACCCTTTTCAGTTTGTGACATAACAAACGTCAAAACTTCTCAACTAATCCATCTAGTTCAGACTACATTAAGGTACACTCTATCGCCATCGCAAGCAACTCTTCAACGACGAACACGATTCGTTAAATTCACTCTCCTATATTTCACAAGATAACATCCTACATTGTTCAATTCTCGAAACATTCACCTCACTTTGCATTCCACATAAATTATTTTCAAAATTCAATTCAGCAACAACGATCACTCAATGATGGAATGTGCAAAAAATTACTCCAATCTGCTTCGTAGACTACCTCCCTATGAAAGCAATGAAACTGTTGATAGAATATTCAAAGAAATAGTACAAATAGTTATCAGTACAAATGTACCAATGGATTGCAAAAATTTGCAGAATAACTATCAACTAAATAGTACAAATTAAAGCAGGGATAACTGAGGGCGCAAAGCGCCATAACTAATAATTTAATTCATCCATCTCGATGTAAAGATCTATTTTATTCATTTAAGGTATCCCCTCCTTCGTATCCATTAAGCTAAAAAGATTTATTTCTCCCCAAATTGCTTCATATCCGTTGCATGACGACAGAAACTCCGATGCATGAGCTATAATACAATTACCCATATCAGTCTGCGATTTTGAAGCTAGCTCGTGTTGTTCCTTATGCGTACTCTTCAAAAACTGCTGCTTATGGCTTAACTCATATTACGAAACATTCTTTATGCATACCCTCCAATTGATGTTACGAAACATTCCTCATGCATACTCTTCAATTACTGTCTATTGCTTGACTATGTTACAAAACATTTCTCAGTATACCAAACCAGCGCTTTCAATCCCTGATTCCTTCACTACCACCCAAAATTTGTTTTTATTATGGAATAATCTCACCGATTCCCACATTCAAATTAATCAAAACTACCTGTTCACCCCCTCATCCAATTACACCTCAGTATATATTCTCCCCTGGGACAAACGGATAAATTTCTCTTGAAATGCAGTCAGTCCATGCATCACTCGATTACATCAATCCCCAATCATAATAATCTAATCACAAGTGCATAAATCAACAAACTCTCATCAATCTACATATTCAAAGGTCATTTATCATTCATAAGATATCTCTTTCAATCTATTCATTTGTGCATGTCCGACCTGTCAAATGTGTTCGTTCGTTCATCTATCTGCTTTTTAGTCAATTACAATTATGACATGTACTCAACATAGGCACAGACAATACGTTGAGCAGACATCGAGGGATGCATTTGAACGCCTCTCGTTCAGAGGATACTTATTCATTGAGAACAACTACCTATTCATTACCTATTCAGCTTTATCACGGATTTTAGATTGGTGTCAATAAATGCAGACTTAAAAATCTATAATCATATCCAAATTATCCCCTGGTAGATTTGAATAACTCACTTCACGGTCTGTTGAAATTGCAAGTAATTTATCGTTAGGCTATAAATCCATTGTACAATCCAAACTATCACTCGAACAAAAGCGCTGAATCTTGATATTGTATAGCCGAACAAAAATATAACCACTGAGATTGGTACAGGAAACGCAGAACAGAGCTGAGGTGATTCTGTACAATCTGTTCCCATGAAATGCACTTCTTCATCAAGTGAATACAGACATAATACGGTAGAATGCGAGCCGTAAGCTTCTGATAAGACTCGTTTAAATTCTGCATTATTTTTCGTGCGCTCTTCACATCTGCTGCATAAAAAATGCAGCATCAGAATTTAACAACACTTCAGAATTGTTTTTTGCCCGTTCCCTTGCAATCTGATGTTCATAACATCGAAAGTGTTGATGATAGCAATAGTAATGTAATACAATTACAATCATAATGAAGATAAAGTGCAATTGAATATCAACGAACGAAGAAAGAGACCAGAAGAAAGGAGTTGGAACAAGACTGTAATATGTTAATTTGATGTGACGATGAAAGGTGGAGAATACGCTGCATGAGATCAGGGATGATAGCGAGTGTGTGTAATGAAGAGTATTACATCCGAAAGGATATGGATATAGATAAGTCAATCAGTCATAAATCACTTCATAATGAAGTATCTATCGCATTACGCAAATCACTTTTCACTAATTGAGCTAACTAACAACCAAGACAGCGAGCGAATACTCTTGATCATTTGATCACAACAGGAATCGATTGATCACTATGATCGATTATGATCACAATCGAGAATCGATTCAGTCATCGATCATGAGTAATTGTACCGTTGTTATTTATTATATTATATTCATATATTTTTGGCATTAATTTGCTTTGCTTCGAAAAAGACATAAATATTCGAAATGTTATATTGATTCTGGAAGACGGTAAGACTGGAAGATTGGAACTGAAGACCTCTTTTCACATGCATACAGTTATGATATCGCGGCATGCAGTTCAACTGAATTTGATTATGAAACATTTGCTAGCGTAAGACGTCTGATAGAAAAAAAATTTTATTTTTAGCGAAAACTCTCCTTCAAAACGATATCAATGATATTATCAAAGATACTTCGCAATATTATCAAAGACATTATTATCAAAGATACGATATCAACATTATTCGTTCCTTTTCAAGAATCGCTCAGTTTGAAAAAATCGCAACATTTTATATGAGGAAGTTAAGTGCATGTCAAATGAGAGAACTGATAATGAATCAAACGAGAAAACTGATAAAAAAGAGAATTGACACAGCCATATTTCAATACCTCGTTGAAAGTCGACATTTGGTTCCGGTTCAGATGCCCACTTGTCGATGTCACTCTCGTCAACAAGCTCGCCCAGCGCTGACCCAGTTTTCAGCGAACCCAACGACAGCACTCTTCGTGCCACCAACTCTTTCAAAAGCTCCTCTCGTGCTTTCTCAACCTAGAATACAATCAACCTCTAACACATTCTTCCAAGTACTTTGATCACTTCCGCACAAAAATATATGTATATTCAGCTCGATCTCCTGCATTCATCAAAATATTCAACTTGCTTATAATTAGCCTGAGAGTGAGCCACACTGTCAACTGATCTGTATATGCATGTACTCGAATGAGAGAACTTCATGATCCAATCGATTCATTATCAAAATTTGTCACTTCTCTTCAGATTTTCCTCCTCATATGAATGTAATTCAGATCCGCATGACACAGACGAAACTAATGAAACTTTTACAATACCAGAACCTATACTTCACAAAATTATCACAATAAAATTTCGTCAACTTAAAGGGAAAAAAATGTCACTTTAAAAAATTTGAGAATCAAAAAATGGCCTTGCAACGGGAAGGACGGCCATAAAAACGCACGATTCGCATCCTCATAAAACGAATCAATGCAACTTCATAAAGATACTGATCTCTACGTTCAGATGCAGTGAAATTCTTTCTTCAGTTTTACTCATTTTCAGTCAGACAGTTAGCATTCACTGATCGTCGTAAACGATTTAACTGCCATTCACATCTAATTTTCGATATCATAAAAAGCAAGATCACAACAAAATGAACACAAAATCCTTTGAGAAAAAGAAATAAAAACTAATTTCGAGTCATTATTCAGAACAAAGAATTTTACTATTTCTTCAAACTTGATACAAATATAAGTTGAGATTATTCATTTGCCATTAACATTATTCTTTTTTGCAAGATTTCATCAATGAAGAATACCCNCTTCAAACTTGATACAAATATAAGTTGAGATTATTCATTTGCCATTAACATTATTCTTTTTTGCAAGATTTCATCAATGAAGAATACCCCTAAAAAATAAATCAAATCATTCTCTTCGTTTTATCGCCTCAACTCTATTTTTATTATGGCTTTCATAATCTAATAGATCAATGTTGTCATCATTTCATTTTAAAAAAAAGGATCGTAACCATATTAAAGACTAAATGAAGTACACATCATGAAATCAATTCAACAAACTCGTCAATAAATCAACTAACACACCTCCTGTGCAGATGAACCACTTTCTAGCACTGTCTTCAGGTGTGCTGATGAATGGTGACATCCGTATGGATTTGGAACAAATCGTTTACGACGTCTTGAGTCATCCTCCCATACGTCCAATTTCCAAAACTTTTCGCTGAAATTCATGCATATCAAATAAAAAAATACCGTTCGTTTCTCACAAAACAACGCCCGTCATCTACCAGCCAAAAGAATGAAAATTTTTAAAAGTTTTCGACAACTTTTTAAAACCTCCAACAACCAACTAGTCAAATAACTAATCAATCAAACAAAATAAACAGCCGAAATGAGTAAAAACTAACAATACGAAATAATTTCACAAAGTCGAAAATCATGCCAATAAACATTCAAACAAACAAATCCTCAAACAAACCTAAAACTAAAACGAAACCCACTAAAAATAAGCATTACTACCACTTACACGTCATGCTTATTATCAGCCCACGCACCACTCGTACTTGTCAGAATTGTGGTGATCTTATCGATTAGACGAGTGGCGATCAGTTGATCACGCCGTCGACTCGCCGTTATCAAGTGCTCGTTGATTGTCTCCTCTCGACGTCGTTTATGCATTTGTTCCGCCGCATCACCCTTCAAAATTTCATTCACTCATTCCGTTTCTTTAGTTCAATTCATGAATCCAAAATCAAATTCCCCGCTGGCGTTCTCATTGTTCAGAAACTAAACTCGTTAAGTCACGAACATTGTAATAGAGAATTAAACTCGTGAACCTGAAATTAGTATTTCTTGAAAACAAAGCAACAATCCATAGCTCACTCAAATTTGAGAAACATTCTTCAAATAGAAAAGCTTACTACGAATATGGAAATTAACAAAAATAACAAACTCATCCATCCGCAATTTCATTTTCTAGAAATCACCTTCAATTACACTAAATTGCACAACTCAATACAGATTATGAAAGCGTCGCAAAAATATTCAAATAACATTTAGATGTTACCAATATCGTTCAATTACGAGCTCGGATACCTTTCAAAAACAAATAAATTCAATTTAATGCTGAAAGTTTCATTCACCTCAAACTGAGCGTGTTTAGTCACATCCTCAGCTCGCAAACGATTCAAAATGAAATCTGCTTCATTCGCAACTCTCAGCACGTGATCACGTGTTGCGTGTGCCATTAGTCGACCTTAATTTCACTGATTTCAATCAATCATTTTTTGTGACTTATTATCGTGAACTTCCAAAATGCTCGAAAAAAAAATCTTCTTCTTCTAAAAAACTTTAAAATGAAGTGACTAACCCTCATTAACTAGTTCAATGAAAGCGAGACCAGCGTGCTTCTGCAGCGAGGTTTGCCATTCTTGTGAACACAAC